GTCGGTCCCCGCTGCCCGCCGACGCCGCCACCCACTCGTGAGCCGCTGGGCCTGAACTTTGGAGGCATCGTTTCTGCCCTGTCCCTCGGAGATCTTTGGAGAGTCGAAGCCGAGCCTGCGACGCTGCCGCGATGCTGGGGAAGGAGCCCGCAGGGAAAGCAAGCAGCCGGGGGTCGGGATCCCAGGGCCCGAGCCCCGCCAGGCTGCGCTGTGCTCCGTCCCTGTCCCTGAGCGCGGCACTGGCGGCCCTCCTGCCAGTGGTGGCGGTGGTGGCATGTTTGTACCTGGGGGTGAAAACCAGCGACCTCCAGGCGAGGATCGCCGCTCTCGAAGCCGCCGAAGGAGCGACTTCCATCCATCTGCTGCCGGATACCCTGGATCAGCTCAAGGCCTTGGTGCAGGAGAAAGTGGAACGGCTCCTGGCTCAGGTGCGGGGGTGGGGGATTTTGCACGTGGATAACGTTTTGCACAGGCGCGATTCTGTGTGCACACTCGCGTGGCTGCGTGGAGCCGCATCCCCGTCGCATGCTCTTGCACGTGCGGCCCGGGGCAGGGTCCTCACCGACTTCTCGCTTCACTCACTCCTCCCCGAGTCCTGCATGGCAACATACAAGGGAGGGGGGAAGGGCAGGTGACCCGGGAGGCCGGCAGGGGTCTCTGCCTTTAGGGTCCGAGGGCAGGTGAGTCTGCCTCCCCCGCAGAATACCTTTCAGAGAGAGCTGCTCACTCCTCCCAGGGTTTCAGGGTAGGGCTGTGGGTGTACATACGCAGCAGGGAGCCACTGGAAATGCCCGTAAATAGAATGTGAAACCAGCCATTCACCTGAAACTTCTCACTAAAACTTGAAAACGTGTTCTTTGAAAGTAGCTTGCTTTTCGTGAGTGCGGTGTGGGCGTGTGTGAACGCAGTGCCAACCCAGTGCGGTGCCAAGTGAGTGTGCCCTGTGTTTAACAGGGGCAGCGTCAGCCGAGAGTCGGGCTTCCCGGACCCTCCTCTCAGCAGAGTGGCTGTGTGGCCAGGGCTGCAGCTCAGTACGAGCATCTGACTCTGACCTCGGAGTAGCAGCGCTGCGCTTTCTGCTCAGCCGGCCCAGCAGGCGCGGAGGGCAGGGCGGCTGTAGCGGAAGAATGGAGCGAGATGCCCTCCAGGCCCAGCGATCCCCATACTGTGTCAAGGGGCGTTTCTTTTTTTAGGGCTGGGGTCCTGGTACCATTTGAGTGGTGTCCAAGTGCCTGTGAACATGTCAGTCCGCAGGCTCTCTGTGCTGGATGCTGGCGGGTTGGGCATGCAGCCAGGAAGCCCCTCGAGAATCATCTGGGCCTTGCTGACGATCCTCCTATCTCTTCTTTTCCCGCAGAAATCCTATGAACATATGGCTAAAATCAGAGTTGCCAGAGAAGCACCGTCAGAGTGCAACTGCCCAGCAGGTAAAGTGCAGCTTATTTGACAAGGTTCCCACCAGTGCCGAGGTTGGAAACGTGGCTCTGTATCTGTCAAGGCTACCTGTGGTCACGGAGAAGAAGGAATGCAGACCCGGCTTGCAGTAATAAAACCGGCGTGTCTCAGAGCAGGGGCGGGAGGTCAGGCCGGGCTGCTCTAAGGGGGGTCGGGATCCCAGGGCCCGAGCCCCGCCAGGCTGCGCTGTGCTCCGTCCCTGTCCCTGAGCGCGGCACTGGCGGCCCTCCTGTCAGTGGTGGCGGTGGTGGCATGTTTGTACCTGGGGGTGAAAACCAGCGACCTCCAGGCGAGGATCGCCGCTCTCGAAGCCGCCGAAGGAGCGACTTCCATCCATCTGCTGCCGGATACCCTGGATCAGCTCAAGGCCTTGGTGCAGGAGAAAGTGGAACGGCTCCTGGCTCAGGTGCGGGGGTGGGGGATTTTGCACGTGGATAACGTTTTGCACAGGCGCGATTCTGTGTGCACACTCGCGTGGCTGCGTGGAGCCGCATCCCCGTCGCATGCTCTTGCACGTGCGGCCCGGGGCAGGGTCCTCACCGACTTCTCGCTTCACTCACTCCTCCCCGAGTCCTGCATGGCAACATACAAGGGAGGGGGGAAGGGCAGGTGACCCGGGAGGCCGGCAGGGGTCTCTGCCTTTAGGGTCCGAGGGCAGGTGAGTCTGCCTCCCCCGCAGAATACCTTTCAGAGAGAGCTGCTCACTCCTCCCAGGGTTTCAGGGTAGGGCTGTGGGTGTACATACGCAGCAGGGAGCCACTGGAAATGCCCGTAAATAGAATGTGAAACCAGCCATTCACCTGAAACTTCTCACTAAAACTTGAAAACGTGTTCTTTGAAAGTAGCTTGCTTTTCGTGAGTGCGGTGTGGGCGTGTGTGAACGCAGTGCCAACCCAGTGCGGTGCCAAGTGAGTGTGCCCTGTGTTTAACAGGGGCAGCGTCAGCTGAGAGTCGGGCCTCCCGCA